GAGGGCAACTGCATATAGGTTCATTATAGGGGGAGGAGGAAGAAGAAGAGGAGGAGATTGGATTTATACCCGACTCTTCACTACCCAAAGGAGTCTCAGTGCGGCTTGCAATCTTCTTTCCCTTCCACTCCCCACAACAGACACCCTGTGAGGTAGGTGGGGCTGAGGGAGCACTTTTGAGAACTGCTCGAGAGAACAGCTCTGAGAGAACTGTGACTGATGACAAAGAAGAGATTGGATTTATACCCCGCCCTTCACTACTCAAAGGAGTCTTAGAGTGGCTTACAATCTCCTTTCCCTTCCCCTCTCTACAACAGACACCCTGTGAAGTAAGTGGGGCTGAGAGAGCTCTTTCTAGAACTACCCTTGAGAGAACAGCTCTGAGATAACTTGTGACTGACCCAAGGTCACACCAGCAGCTGCTAGTGGAGGAGTGGGGAATCAAACCCGATTAGAGTCCGCACTCCTACCACTACACCAAATTGGAACCGATGGGTGCAGAAGTTGAGACAAAAAGGGCACATATGCATACCCACTCACTCACCCGTCAGACAGGTCTGTAAAATTCTGAACCAAGCAAAAAGAATAGAAAAATCATTTCTAGGATTCTTGGGGGGAGCTGCAAATCAGAACATTAAATAGGATACACAGTATAGGTTGTCTGCAGTAAAAGGTAAAGGTTCCCTTGCTCGAAAGCCAGTCGAATCCGACTCTAGGGTTGCGGTGCTCATCTCCGTTTCAAAGCCGAAGAGCCAGCGCTGTCCGAATATGTTTCCGTGGTCATGTGGCCGACATGACTAAACACCAAGGCGCACGGAACGCTGTTACCTTCCCACTGAAGCGGTACCTATTTATCTACTTGCAATTTCTTGCTTTCGAACTGCTAGGTTGGCAGGAGCTGGAACTAGAGATGGGAGCTCACTCTGTCATGCGGCACTCGGGTCTCGAACTGCTGAACTACCGACCTTCCACAGTCTACAGTTCAGCGTCTTAACCACTTGAGCCACCGCAGCTCCCTGTCTGCAGTATAAACACTCAAAACACTGGAACAGGGTCCACTTTAGCAGATACGGGAAGAGGGAGATTATCATGGAAGCCTAAAACAAACCTACCATTCAACCCTTCAATATCATCCAAAATGAACCCCATGCCTAGGCCCTCTGCCTTGAAAATTCCACCTGGAAAACCGTACTGCTGTCACTCCAAGGATGTGGCACAACAAACACAGTGGTTCCCTTGGGGGCATGCTTCGCCACACTCACCTTCCCATTCAGCTTCTCCTGAAGTTCTTTCTGCTTTTTTTGGTCCTCCTCCTCATCCAGGTGTGACCTACAGGTCATGGAGAGCTTCTTGATGAGCCGCTCCATTTCCCGGCACTGCTCCTCACGCTGCTCTGTCTCCAGCTGCTTGAACCGTCTCCAGTCATTGATGACACCTTTAGGACCTGAAGGAAGAGAGGAAAACAAGGAAGCTGTGGAGATCAGAAGAGCTCACTTAGCTACAGACCTCAGCTGTTACTTTGCACTGCAAAGAGTCCACAAGAGGTGGGGCCATGGCTCAGCCCATGTTTTGTATGCAGAAGGCTGCAGGTTCAATCTCCAGCAAGGAGGGTCTCCTGTAGCTGGTATTGGGAAAGACCTTTCTCTGCAGCAGGCCCTAGAATGCCATAGCCTGTCAGAGGACCAAGGAATAAAGAAGAAGAGATTGGATTTATACCCCACCCTTCACTCGGCGTCTCAGAGTGGCTTACAATCTCCTTTCCCTTCCCCTCCCTACAACAGACACCCTGTGAGGTAGGTGGGGCTGAGAGAGCTCTTTTGAGGACTGCTCTTGAGAGAACAGCTCCGAGAGAACCTGTGACTGACCCAAGGTCACACCAGCAGCTGCATATGGAGGCGTGGGGAATCAGACCCAGTTCTCCCAGATTAGAGTCTGCGGTCTTAACCACTACACCAAACTGGCTCTCATCAAAGCAGCTTCATAGGTTCTAGATCAGAATAAGGGGTCCAAGAAGCAAGATGCATCTTACACAACAGTCATAAACAAATGATTTTTTAAAATCATTTTTTTAACTAAATTCTTCCAGGCATTACATAGATACATACTGGGAGGCTGGGACCTGCACATATCAGTAGTGTGCACCACCTGTGATGCTCCCGATATATTCCAGCATCATGTTATCTGAACTGGAGAACACACTAACTTTGCATGTGCATACACCTTTGGTATGTGTGAACCTGGTCTATGAAAAATCCAGCAGTTGGTTCAAACCTACGAAATCTGTATGGACTAGGGCTGCCAAGCCGCGGCGGGGGATCCGTGCGTTGTCACAGGATCCCTGCCGCGGGGGGACAGCGATACGCGTTGCACCAGAATCGCCAGGATGTGACGCTACGCGTCGCTCTGGCAACGGGGAGTCCCGTTGCCAGAGCGACGCGTAGCATCACATCCTGGCGACGCCGATGCAACGCGTATCACTGTCCCCCCGCGGCAGGGATCCTGTGACGACGCACGGATCCCCCACCGCGGCTTGGCAGCCCTAGTATGGACGTGCAAAATGCATGCGTTCCCCTGTTCAGACAACATGGTGATCTGTGTGCATCAGAAGCATCCTAGCTAGTACGTGCTCCCAATATACATGGTTGCTGGGCTCCTGGTATGCCTAGTTGCTATGTCCAAACAGGGTCTCTGTTAAGAGGCAAACTTATTGATCTTGATGGGTAAACTTCAAGGACAGCAAGGGACCATAATCGATGGGGCACGCACCTGTGTTCACAGCACTGCCATCACTACTCAGCTCCACAGGCACAGTGTTAGGGTGGGAGTTGTGCTCCTCACTGTGGTCCTCGTCTCGCTCCTCCTTGTCGCTATCCTCATCCTCACTGCTACTGTAGTAGTACTGGAGCTTCTCACCCAGCAGCTTGTCGTCCAAAGTCGTCATTGTGGGGGGCTATAGAAGAGAACAGCAGGCAAGGGTCTGTGCACCAGGCAGCCTGATCTGGGTGCGGCCAGAAGTGGGCTCTTGAGGGTGCTTCACAGCATGCGGACAGGCAAGATACTGGAGAGGCGAAGACTCCACGCGAGCGTTATAATCTGCGGGAACAGGCAGTGAGCTTCTGAGGTCTGCAGTGAATGTGGCTGAAATCTTTTAACAGGAAGCTTGTGCCCATCTACTTTTACTATTCGATGTAGAGAGGTAAATGATGTATGTGACCATTTTAGGGCAAAAAAAGAGAGGAGTTTGTATGCTCCTCTTGATCATTATATCCTTCTTGATCTTCTGCTAAATAACTGCATCCGTCAACAACATCAGCCTGTTAATATAACTGGATTACTTTCCTGTTTTGCCTGAAGAAGAGTTGTATGTCATTCCAAGCTTTTTACACCAAGAAGAGCCAATGACCTGACAGAGTTTCTGTCTCTGTCTGGAACCCCCACAAGAACGTAACATGCCTCAGTACGCATTCTTCTGAGGAAACTGGCTTAACCACATGGTGTAGAGGCCAAGATGAGCACGGCCACCACCAATGTTCCCTCTAAGCTGTGGAGTCTTGTGAGCAAAAATTCTACTTCATGAGCTACTAGCATTAAACTTGTGAGCAAGCAGTTTGGCTACTGCATAAATCAGTTTGCTCTGGAGCCGTCCTTCCTGAGCTAAGACAAAAAATGCATGAGCCGGAGGCTAAAAAACTGTGAGCTAGCTCACACTAACTCAGCTTAGTGGGAACACTGGCCACCACAGCGGCAGCAACAGACCAGCATTAGCACCAAGCATTAATCCTTCCCTTTATCCTGAATCAGATCCCCTCTCGGCCACGAATTTGCAAGCAGCAGCTTTGTAAGCCATCTGGCGTATAATCTCTCAAAGATAAAAGTGACAGGTTCTTTTATGAAAACACTGGCACAAATGAAAGCTCCCCAAAGCTAAGCAGCTACTGGCCCAGAAAAAAACCACACTGCAATTTATTTATGGGATTCACTGCCAAAAAACACAGGTGGTAGCCCCAGGTTTGACATCATTACAGAAAGAACAGAGGTATTCATTGGAAGATGGATTCTATTAAACTATTAAACATGACAGCTAAATGGAACCTCCATGTTTAGGGGCAGTATATCGCAGTCCAAATACAGATGCTGGAGACAGACAATGAGAGAGGTTTGTTAAGGAATAGGTGGGCACTTGCGAATGTGCCCCCATGGGAAAACTACATGGATTTTAAAGACAGGCAAAATTCACAATATTCCACTGGAGCAAGTGCTGCAGCCCACCCCCAAGCCCAGCACAAAGCCCACCAACTAGGCAAGAGGACCCCCACCCTCATGGGAGCTTACACCCCTGCCTCTGAGCCCCAATGCAGCACAAAGCAACAGGCACTCAGCAAGTACCTGTTGCTTTGGGCTACTTTGGGGGAAGGGAAAATAGCTCAACATCAAAGGGATACAGGAGCCATTCCCCCAATTTATTTTTTTCAGGCCCAATTGTAAATACTGCATCGTCTTCTGTCTTTGTCATCCACTTTCTGCATTATCATGTTACGCCTTAGGCAGTTTTCTGTTTGCTCTGTGGTCTAATTTCGTGATCCTAGTCCTTTTGCACTGATTCCTGGATGCCATATCCTGATGACCAACTGAATTGTTTTCTGTGTTTTGTCATCTGCCTTGAATCTCAGCAAGAAAGTTGGGCTATACACGAAGCAAGTAAACAAATAAAATAAAATATGTAACGAAGTCACCCAGAGCCCTAGGGATAGAGTGGCATGTGTTTACATAAGCAAATAAAGAGATGAGCGTTGCCTGCAATTGGCCTGGGCTCTGTGCCACTGGGAGTCAGAATCTGAATGATTCCTAATCAGCTCAGAAGCCAAGTGGCAGAGGAAAGGGAATGGCTGCGGAATGGAGAAGACAAACACCTTGAGAGACTGCAGCAAACTGTGCCGGACAAACTGAATGTGTGCTGAAGCCCAGGACACTTCCACACAGTCATGTTTGTCCCTGTTGCTTCAGGGTTTTCCCCCCCTCCAATGTGTTTTGCTCTCTCTAGTAGTCCCAGAGGAAGCAAAACACATGTGGAAAGGGGGGGGGGGGACCCAACGCAATAGGGACAAACCAGTTACAAGAATGACAGTGTGGAAGTGGCCCCAGACTGGATGATGGAGCCCAACCGGAGCCTGCCATATTCCCTCTCTTAAGTAGTTTTAGTAGGATCAGAGCTCACTAAGGTCAACAAGAAGGGAGGAGAAACCAGGCATTACTATAACAATCCTCAGCTGATGCCTGACTTGCTAGTGGTGGTTTCCAACTCTTGCTTCTAAGCAAAACTTCCTCAAATGTTCTCTCACTGTTTGGTCTTTGGTAGCCAGGTGCCCCCCTCCCCATTGTGATCAGCATGCCAGAACCCTGGACAGCTCCTGTGTGGATCAATGCTTTGCCTTCTATCTGCTAGTCCTGAACCAACTGAGGACACATGCACTTTGGCAGCACTATGTAAATAACACCATGACAAGAAAAAGGAAACAGAATTAGGGACAGCCTTCTTTTTTTTTACACCCTGCTCCCCTCACAGCCAAAGTAAAAACAGCAGCCATCAGTAAATATTCCAAAGCTTTTGAGCACAGGAGAGGATAAATTTTGTCTCTACTGTTCAGGCATGATGGACATGGAGATTTGACTGTGCATTATGAAGGTCAAGGGCAGGATTTCATAAAGTGAGGTCAGAGGCACATTATTAAAATACATTCCCAAACAAGCCAGCCAGCTGTTGCTTTAGGCTATTCCTGTCTCCTCCCTTCCCTCCCTGCTTAGTTTGATGCTCCCACTTTATGCACCACATAACCTCAACCTTAGAACGAGGACCCTGGAAGATAAGGAGCCAAGTTCTAAAGATATTATTACTATGACTGTAAAACTGTAAGATGTGAGACTACATGGGGGTGAGGGGATATGCAAGCAAGCTATTTCCCACCCAGTATCCTTGAAGCTGTCCATCTGTCTTACTGGCTGTGCTGTCCTGGGCTTTTAACAGCTGCCTTCTTGGCAGAAATATTCACCAGTGAAGTTTTCATTGTCAAAAAAAAAATTAAGGAAGGACAGAAAGGGAATTTCAGCTGCTTTTCTGGGTGCAGTGGGCCCCAGCCCTTGCTTAGCCTCAGCCCTGGTTAGCTACTTGCTAACCGGATGCAGCAACAACCCCCCAAAGCTCCCCAAGTACCTGTGATGATCCTACCTACCGGGAATCCTCTCTATGGGGCAAAGACCCACCCCGATCCCAAGCTCTGAACCATGAAACTATGGAGACCCAGCTAGACCGTCTCTCATTCCCTACCCCCAATAAATCACTGTACCAAGCAACACTCTTCATAACCATCTTCCCTATGGAGTAGCCAATGTTTCCACCCACCCCTCCCCCTCAAGCAGCACTAGTCCCAAGCAGGGCCAAGCAAGACACTGACTCCCCGGCACCAGTTGATGACCCCGCAGCCTAATCCCAAAACTTTATGGAGCAACGGCCCTCTCCTGCTCTCCCCCCTCCACTCCACAGCACACAGTCGTCCGCCTTCCTCTAATGCAGCACGCCCTCGGAAGTAACAGCTTTGTGGCACCTATCAAAATTTTCATTCCAGCACCAGATTTATGCCGGAACAAACATCTTGCTAGTCTTTTAAAAATGCCTGTTTATTTTTGCTCCAACGTAATCTAGAAATAGAGGTTTAGACTCCTTCCTGCACGCCGTGGAAGCCTCCACCCCCAAACCTCCCACTCCTATAATCCCCAGACCATTGTCTTCCACTCCCTTAAATCCTCGGATTAGCGTCCCCCCCCCTCCATAACTACTCCAACTCACCGCCCGCGTCGCCCTCTTTTTCCCTGCTAGGCAAAGACGGAAGCGTAAAGGATGCCGGGAGAATCGAACCGAGGAGGCGCGCCCAGACTGTAGAGTTAGAAAAAAAATGGGAGTTTTGCACAAGCATCACTTCCGGTTTACGTTCAACCAGTCTTAGAGGCAAGAAAGGAACCGAATACGCAAAAGGATAGCTCCTCCAGCCCCACTTTGCAGTGCTTTCTGTCTCGTTTATTTTATTATATAATTATTATAAGATTATCTTTACAAATGCACGCGAAAGAAATCTTACCCGAGTCGTCGTTTTTGCGCAGATAACAACGGGTACTTCGTGCTGTTTGGTCTGCACGTTTCTCCGGGAACTCGAAAGGTCTCTGCACTTTGCTGTCCCTTGGACGACCGGGCTGCTCAAAGATGACATTTGCGCATGCTCAAAACGTAACGGTGTAGCCAGGAGTGGTTCCACAATTTAGGGAATAATTTCCGGAGGGTAGTTGTGACAGATACTGATCTGGATGGTCGAGGCTAGTCCAAACTCGTCTAGATTCCTGGGTCTGCCCTGGTGGTTAGTAGTTGGACGGGAGACCACAAAGAAAGTCCGGGGTTGCTTCTCAGAGGCAGGCAGTGCAAACCACCTGTGTTCCTCACTTGCCTTGAGAACCCTTCGGGGTCGCTATAAATTGGATGCGACTTGACGGCAGTTTCTATCATCATGTAGGGTTTTTGTAGCACCATAAAACAAGAAGTCCAGTGGCGCCTTAAAGAGTAACAAAATCTATTCCAGCATGCATTTCCCTTGAGTCACACCTCATTTCTACAGATGCATGCAATGAATAATCTTTTACGGATTACATGTTAGTTCATGTTAAATTGCTGTTCAGCCTCTGTCTATAAATTTGAACTCTACCTTCCATTCCAATGTATTTAAAAAGTGTGCATGCACACGAAAGCTCATACCTTGAATAAACTTTTGTTGGTCTTATAGCTGCCACTGGACTCTAAATTTGTTCTACTGCTTCAGACCAACAGGGCTGACCACCTGGAACTTTTACGGAGATGTTTATAAACAAGATCACAGAAGGGGGGTGAGTGGGCCATAATGAATTTCTTTTGGAGTGCAGATGCAGAAGGATAATGAAAATTAGACAACATCCCTTAAAAGGACCATCCCTAAGTGCAGAAGACAAAGCAACAGTGGTTTGTGATTACCACGGTTACTCAAAGAGGTCTAGAGGCACAAGCTCAAGCCTTTGTCTTCTTAGGAACTGGATAAAATAAGAATTTACAAACCCACCAAAAAGACGCTGTGCAGAGCCCAGTGTGGAGAAGAAGAAGAAGAAGAAGGAGAAGGAGAAGGAGAAGGAGAAGGAGAAGGAGAAGGAGAAGAAGAAGAAGAAGAAGAAGAAGAAGAAGAAGAAGAAGAAGAAGAAGAAGAAGAAGCAGAC